GTGTGTGTGTGTGTGTGTGTGTGTGTGTGTGTGTGTGTGTGTGTGTGGGGGGGGGGTTAATATGATGACAAATTAGATGTAGCTCATGGTTACCATGGTGATGTCCCAGCACCTGTCAATCTCTGAGTCTGTTAAGTGAATATTAAGTAAAATTCTTCTTAAATCGTGGAGTTAGCCAACTGCCAACTTTATAAGGAGGGGCAGGGCTAATCCCCACCTTCAGATTGGAGGGCGGGGCTAATCCCCAATTTACAATCCCCACCTGCAGATATAAAGCCAGTGCGAATCACTACATAGAGGGCCGGCTCTATTGCTGCTTGGCCATTGGTAAGTGCGGCTCCACTCGGCTCTCATCTTCTCGGTTCTTCTCGTGTGTAGATGGATTGCCACCTCAGTGGAGGCGGACACGTGTCCCTGCTCTGATCGTCGATGCAAAGTGGGCAGGATCGTAACTGGTCATTGTGTTTGAGCCACTACGCTTGTGGTCCTTAATCGCTCTATAATCGGACTTGAATTTCTTTAAATTATCCTGGCACTCCTTACAAGTCTCGGTGCAGCCATGCTACACCCGATAGCTCTCTGTAAATGTGCTCATTCCTTGTGGCCCCGCCCATCAACACGATGAGGAAGTGGAGGTTCAGATGTAGCTTGCAGTTTTGCAGGGCAGGTCATCCAGTGATGTAGCTCTGCTGGTCAGTCAACAGCTGCCGTCTGCTTACGTCAAAATCAGCCTCTCAGAGCTTGGAACCACAAACGAGGTGGTCCCATAGACCGGGCTGAGTGGGTGGTACTGGCAGTGTGCATGCCCTTAACTGGTGCAACGTGGGGCGGATCCAAGGAGAGTTGAGGCCGTGGGAAAGTGCCACGATATCCACCTTAAAGGACCTTTTAGCCTCTGGTGTTACAGAAGATAGTTAGGTTACTGGTGTCACTGGTGTTACTGGTGCTACTGATGTGTTGCTAGTGTTACTGGTGTCACTGGTGTCACTGGTGCTACTGATGTGTTGCTAGTGTTACTGGTGTCACTGGTGCTACTAATGTGTTGCTAGTGTTACTGGTGTCACTGGTGCTACTAATGTGTTGCTAGTGTTACTGGTGTCACTGGTGTTACTGGTGCTATTGATGTGTTGCTAGTGTTACTGGTGTCACTGGTGTTACTGGTGCTACTGATGTGTTGCTAGTGTTACTGGTGTCACTGGTGTTACTGGTGTTACTGATGTGTTGCTAGTGTTACTGGTGTTACAGTTGCTACTGGTGCTACAGGCCTTAATGATGTTGCTGGCATTACTGGTATTGTTTTTGTTACTGGTGTTGCTAAAATTACTGATGTTGCTGATATTACTGGTGTTTGTGTTACTGGGGGTTAGTGGTGTCACTGGTGTGACAAGTTTACCTATGGTTAATGATATTACATGGATAACTGGTATTACACGTGTTACTGATGCCATAGGTGTTACTGGGGTTACTGGTGTTGCTGGTGTTATTAATGTTACAAGGGTTACTGGTCTACCTGGGGTTAATGTTACAGGGATAACTGGTGTTGCATGTGTTACTGGTAATATAGAAGTTACAGAAGAAGAAGAAGGTGCTACTGGATACCTCATTGTTGATGTCATCAAACAGCTGGATTCCTGCATACTGAAAAACAGATAAAAGTTGTTGTGACAAAACTGAACCTTCTATTTTTCATAATGTGCCTCCCATGCAGAAAACAGGAAGCTACAAACTATATGAGCAGAAGCAAACACTCACAGAGCTTTCATCTAGCTTCAGTTTGGCTTTATGCTCTTCAAAGTCCTTCAGTAGAGACTCTGTCAGACTTCGAGGAACCAAAGAAACCATCCGGTCCCCCTCCGAAGAGTAGAAGGCAGGAGGGGGTGTCGAGGCCCAGGGCTTAGCAGTGACGAAGGAGACGGAAGGCAGATGGACTCCAGGAGGAGTAGAGGACACACTGACAGCTTTTTCTGAGGCACAGGAAAATAAATCAGCGACATGTGACGTCACACATGTTGAAATCAGAAAAAACGATTTTATTCTTTTAGTCCCAGTTATTTTTACAGGTGGGCCGTGTCTGAGAGCAGGTGGACTGAGGACAGGCCAGTTGATTTGAATCGGCGGATCAGAATCAACAGCACCGCCTTCTTCAGGTCTCTGTCCTGATAATAAAAACTGACTCTTGTGTTGCATAAAATCCAGTAACTGATTTACAGAAGACCGGGATGTCCTTTGGTTTGCCTGGAATTTAGTCTCATTTAGTTATTCATTCTTTATGGATCTGGTCGAAGACCAAGAGGAGGGAAACGTGTCAGGAGACAGAGAAGAGGAAAGTGAAGAACCTAGGACTGAGGGTTGCAACTCTAAATGTGGGGACAATGACAGGCAAAGGTAGAGAGCTGGCTGACATGATGGTGGTATGCACTGGTTAACTGGTCATCATTAACTTCACGCAGACTAACTGGTACATTCAGGGCCAGATTAACACTTCGCTGTACCCTGGGCAACAATCTTCAAGGGCCCCATCATCACGACCCCAGAATCACCATAATCTGGCAAAATACAGTAAATATACTTAAATTCTAAAGATCAAGTGTATTTTTATGTATAAAAATCCAAACGCTCATAGAACTATAAATGCTACCATGTCCTCTTGTTGACGCAAATCATCAAGACTGAGTTAAGTTGAACGCACTTTGAACACCGTATGACACCATATGTGCACTTGTTTAGCAACGTGTTGGCCATTGGTGTCAGAAGCATTTGTAATTGGGGGGGGGGGGGGGTACACTGATGGGGGTGTCTGGGTGTCCTCCCCCAGAAAATTTTGAATAAAGTAGATGCCATTTCCTGCATTCTGGTGTATTTTAACAGGTTGTTTAACATCTAGTTTTACCTACACAAGTACTTGATTCAATAAATATTTTAGAGTTAATGGCACAACAAGAAGTGGCCTGACCAACAGCTGATTCAATTAATTAAAAATTATATATTCAAATGGGACAATTTGATGCCAGTCGTCGATTGGTCAGTTGCTGACACGCCTACTGGATTGATTGACAGGTCGTGCCATGTAGGATCTGAAAAAACAAGACAGAGCTGCAGCAGCGGCGCTGGGAGGAGGCGGGGCGGCCCAAATGCAGCAGAAGCGCTGCAGTCTCTCTGTGCAGCGCAGGGCTCCAAGGAAAGCAGGAGATAACCAGATATTTTGCTTGTGCCCTCACTGCCCTGGGCCCCTAGAGATCGTGGGTCCCTGGGCACTTGCCCAGTTGCCCATATGGTTTCCTTTTGGTTGCCATTTTATTTTAATTTATATTTTTAAAAAATTTGTATGCTTCTTTTATGATTGTCTATTGTTGTTGTTGTCTACTGTTGTCATCACTCTTTTTGTTAAAATCAGGTCTCCTTTGTAAATGAGTCCCCGAGGCTCAGTGGGATTAACCTGTCTAAATAAAGGTTGAATGAATGATGCAGAGAAGGAAGGTAGAGGTTTTATGTGTCCAAGAGACCAAGTGGAAGGGCAGCAAGGCTCGCAGCATTAGAGCAGGGTTTAAACTGTTTTACCATGGTGTGGATAGAAAGAGAAATGGAGTAAGGGTGGTCCTGAAGGAGGAGTTGACAAAGAATGTACAAACCGGATTCCAAAAAAGTTGGGACACTAAACAAATTGTGAATAAAAACTGAATGCAATGATGTGGAGATGGCAAATATCAATATTTTATTCGTAATATAACATAGATGACAGATCAAAAGTTTAATCTGAGTAAATGTAACATTTTAAAGGAAAATGTGTTGATTCAAAATTTCACAGTGTCAACAAATCCCAAAAAAGTTGGGACAAGTAGCAATAAGTGGCTGGAAAAAGGAAATTGAGCATATAACGAACAGCTGGAAGACCAATTAACACTAATTAGGTCAATTGACAACATGATTGGGTATAAAAAGAGCTTCTCAGAGTGTCAGTGTCTCTCAGAAGCCAAGATGGTAAGAGAATCACCAATTCCACCATTGTTGTGCAGAAAGATAGTGCAGCAATACCAGAATGGTGTTACCCAGCGTAAAATAGCAAAGACTTTTAAGTTATCATCATCAACCGTGCATAACATCATCAAAAGATTCAGAGAATCTGGAACAATCGCTGTGCGTAAGGGTCAAGGCCGTAAAACTCTACTGGATGCTCGTGATCTCCGGGCTCTTAAACGTCACTGCACCTCAAACAGGAATGCCACTGTCAAGGAAATAACAGAATGGGCTCAGGAATACTTCCAGAAAGCATTGTCAGTGAACACAATCCACCGTGCCATCCGCCGTTGCCAGCTGAAACTCTACAGTGCAAAGAGGAAGCCATTTCTAAGCAAGCTCCACAAGCTCAGACGTTTGCACTGGGCCAGGGGTCATTTAAAATGGAGTGTGGCAAAATGGAAGACTGTTCTGTGGTCAGATGAGTCACGATTTGAAGTTCTTTATGGAACACTGGGACGCCATGTCATCCGGACCAGAGAGGACAAGGATAGCCCAAGTTGTTATCCACGCTCCGTTCAGAAGCCTGCATCACTGATGGTATGGGGTTGCATGAGCGCTTGTGGCATGGGCAGCTTGCATGTCTGGAAAGGCACCATTAATGCAGAGAACTATGTTCAGGTTCTAGAACAACATATGCTCCCATCTAGACGTCATCTCTTTCAGGGAAGACCCTGCATTTTTCAACACGATAATGCCAGACCACATTCTGCAGCAATCACAACATCATGGCTACGTAGGAGAAGGATCCGGGTACTGAAATGGCCAGCCTGCAGTCCAGATCTTTCACCTATAGAGAACATTTGGCGCATCATAAAGAGGAAGGTGCCACAAAGAAGGCCCAAGATGATTGAACAGTTAGAGGCCTGTATTAGACATGAATGGGAGAGTGTTCCTATTTCTAAACTGGAGAAACTGGTCTCCTCTGTCCCCAGACGTCTGTTGAGTGTTGGAAGAAGAAGGGGGGATGCCACACAGTGGTAAAAATGGACTTGTCCCAACTTTTTTGGGATTTGTTGACACCATGAAATTTGGAAACAACAGATTTTTCCGTTAAAATGAAACATTATCTCAGTTTAAACTTTTGATCTGTGATTTGTGTTCTATTCTGAATAAAGTATTAGATATTGGCACCTCCACATCATTGCATTCAGTTTTTATTCACAATTTGTTTAGTGTCCCAACTTTTTTGGAATCCGGCTTGTAGTAGAATTGAAAAGAGTGTCAGATAGGATGATGTGTCTGAAGGTAGAAGTAGAAGGTCTGATGCTAAACATCATCAGTGGTTATGCTCCACAGGTTGGATGTGATGAGGAGGAGAAAGATACATTTTGTAAAGATCTGGATGAAGTGATGGAGAGTATTCCCAGGGAGGAGAGAGTGGTGATGGGAGCAGACCTGAATGGACATGTTGGTGAAGGAAACAGAGGATGAGGAAGTGATGGGTAGGTTTGGTGTCAAGAAAAGAAACCAGGAAGGACAGATGGTGGTGGATTTTACCAAGAGAATGGAAATGGCTGTAGTCAACACCTGTTTCCAAAAGAGGGAGGAGCATAGAGTGACCTATAAGAGTGGAGGAAGGAGTACGCAGGTCGACTACATTCTGTGTAGAAGCGGAAACCTGAGGGAGATTGGAGACTGTAAGGTTGTGGCAGGGGAGAGTGTGGCCAGACAGCATCGGATGGTTGTGTGTAGAATGACTGTTGTTGTGAAGAAGAGAAAGAGAGTAAAATCAGAGAAGACGACCAAATGGTGGAAGATGAAGAAGGAAGAATGTTGTGAGAAGTTCAGAGAGGAGCTGTTAAAGGCTCTGGGTGGTAAGAAAGAGCTTCCAGATGACTGGACTACTACAGCAACAGTAATTAGAGAGACAGGTAGGAAGGTACTTGGTGTGTCATCTGGATAGAGAATGGATGATCAGGAGACCTGGTGGTGGAATAGTGAAGTGCAGGAAGCTGTTCAAAGAAAGAGGTTAGCCAAGAAGAAATATGACAGAGAGAGGACTGAAGAGAGGAGACAGGAATATAAGGAGATGGGACGTAGAGCAAAGAGGGAGGTAGCTAAGACAAAGCAGAAGGTGTACAATGAGTTGTATGGGAGACTGGACACTAAAGAGGGAGAGAAGGATTTGTACTAAATGACAAGACAGAGGGATCAGACTGGAAAGGATGTGCAGCAGGTTAGGCTTGTTAAATATAATAATGGTAATGTTCTAACAAGTGAGGAGTGTGAGACAGGGAGATGGAAGGAGTGTTTTGAGAAGCTAATGAATGAAGAGAATGAAAGAGAAAGAAGAGTAGAGGTCATAGAAACTGTGGACCAGGAAGTTGGAGAGATTAGTGAGGGTGAAGTCCAGAAAACTCTGAAAAGAATGAAGGCAGTAGGACCTGATATATCAGTGGAGGTTTGAAAATGTCTAGCAGAGATGGCAATGAGGTTTTTGACTCAGATATTCAGTGGCATATTTGAGGGTGAGAAATGCCTGAGGAATGAAGTGTGCTGGTGGCCATTTTTAAGAACAAGGGTGATGTACAGAGTTGTAGCAACTACAGGGGAATTAAGTTGATGAGTCACACGATGAAGATCTGGGAGAGAGTTGTGGAAGCAAGACTTAGACAAGAGGTGACTATCTGTGAGCAGCAGTATGGTTTAATGCAAAAAAAGAGCACCACAGATGCCATCTTTGCTTTGAGGATGTTGATGGAGAAGTAAAGAGAGGGTCAGAAAAAACTGCATTGCGTCCGTTTGGATTTGGAAAAAGCAACTGACAGAGTGCCAAGGGAGGAGGTGTGGTATTGCATGAAGAAATCTGGAGTGGCAGAGAAGTATGTTAGACTGGTACAGGACATGTGAGGACAGCAGGACAGTGGTGAGATGTGCTGTAGGAATGACAGATAGCTTCAAGTTGAAGGTAGGAGTGCATCAAGGATTGGCTCTGAGCCCCTTCTTGTTTGGTCTGGTGATGGACTGACTAACAGATGAGGTCAGGCAGGAATCCCTGTGCACTATGATGTTTGCAGATGACATTATGATCTGTAGTGAGAACAGGGAACAGGTGGAAGAGAACTTGGAGAGGTGGAGGTAAGTACATGAAAAAAGAGGAATGAAAGTCAGCCCTAGTAAGACAAAGTATGTGTGTGAGTGACAAGGAGGCCGGTGGAACAGTGAGGCTACAAGGAGCAGAGGTTACAAAGGTGCAGGACTTCAAAGACTTGGGGTCCACTGTCCAAGAAAATGGGGAGTGTGGTAAAGAAGTTAAGAAGAGAGTCCATGTAGGATGGAGAAAAGTTTCAGGAGTGATTTGCGACTAAAGGGTGTCAGCAAAGGTCAAAGGAAAAGTTTACAAGACAATGGTGAGACCAGCCATGTTGTATGGTCTGGAGACAGAGACATGGACAAAAAGACAGTAGACAGAACTGGAAGTGGCAGAAATGAAGATGTTGCGGTTCTCCTTAGGAGAGACAAGAATGGGTACAGAGGTACAGAGCAGGTTGAACAAATGAGAGATAAAGTTAGAGGCCAGACTGAGATGGTTTGGACATGTCCAGAGGAGGGACAGTGGGTATATTGGTAGAAGGATGTTAGACAGGAAAAAGACAAAGAGGAAGACCTAAAAGGAGACATATGGATGCAGTTAGAGAAGTCATGGAGGTGGTTAGAGTGAGGGCAGAGGATGCAAGTACATTGTACTTGTACTTTAGTGTCTAGCTTCCCATACAACTCATCATGCACCTTCTGCTTTGCATTTGCTACCTCTCTCTTTGATCTATGTTGCATCTCCTTATCCCCATCTCCTCTCTTCAGTCCTCTCATAGTCACATTTCTTCATGGCTAGCCTCTTTTTCTGAACAGCTTCCTGCACTTCACTATTCCACCACCAGGTTTCCTTTTCATTCAACCTTTTTTTATACAGGTTAATCCCATTGAATCTCAGGGACTCATTTACTTATCTTTTCTCTGTCCAGATGACACACCCAACACCTTCCTACCCATCTAATTACAGTTATTTTCTCTAATTAATCAGCTGTCACTCTTTAACCTCTTTTAACAGTAAGGGGTTACCTTTCAACTCCTGAGCGATCAGAGGTCACCATTTAAACCCCGTTAGTGATTAAGGGTCACCCTTCAGACCTGGTTAGTGGTCAGAGGTCACACTTCAATTCCAGTTAGTGGTCAGAGGTTTGACCAGTTTGCTCAATGTCAGATATGAAAACAAGCTCGTTAGCTTCTACTGTATGTGTGTTCAGATGTGTAAAGCAATAGGTGTTACTTGACAACCTTATTATTTTCTGGGGTTGTTAAGCTTCTGATCGAGAGAAAGATGCCTTCACATCTACCTGCTTCCCTTATAAACTTTCTTTCAAATTCTAGCCCACCCTATAAGTTTTATTTCTCTGAATTTATTTGTTTATAAAATGTCTTTTATAAACATCCTTTGATTTTAGATGGTAATAAGAAAATAATGTTATCTGCAGAAGTAAGGATTTCACTTCGTATCAGAGACCTTTTGTCTTTGAGTATATTTTCGACTGAATGTGTTGTCCGTGTGGTGGTCTTAACAAGACTTTGTCTGACGTCATGATGTACTGCATCATAAACACAGAACTAGATGTTTTAGGAAGTTCTTGAGGGTGTTTGGAGGTCCACCCCTACAGATCCTGAGCTTCATATTCAGTTGATTTTCTTAGTTCAGTTAGTAACAGCTCTGATACCCAACAAATAGTTATCATTTGCTGTTCCTGAATGACTGTTAGAAATGAACTTTAAACTTCAACAAATAAACCTGAACCTGATCCCTAAAAGGCTCGGTTCCATCAGGAAGAACTATGTACCTGTATTTATTGGAGGGTAGAACTGCCTGACAGCCATGTTGGATGCCTGTTCCACCAGAGGAGCTGGAGAGAAGGGTGGTTGGCTGTTTTCTTTTATGGATTCTCTCAACTCCCTTAGCTCTTGTTCCCGTCTCAGATCCTCTTCAATCTCTTTCTCAATGAAATCTGGAGCTCCTTGTCCTCTGGACTGCAGGCCAGTGGTCTCCAGGTTCTCCCTCCAGGACTGAGGAGCCGTTTCACTGAGAGTTGTTGGTGTTGGGGAATTTGAAAAAGAAGAAAACAAAGCGGTTTGATCCTGGTGGAAACGTCTTGTGTCCTGGACTTCAGAGTCTCTTGTAATGAAGGGGGAGGTTTGGTAGGACCAGGCTTCTTCAGGATGTCGGTGAGGACAGCATGGAGGAAGGAAGACTTCATCTGTTTCAGACCCAGACTCTAGCATTTCTCCTGTGCTCTTGTTCTCATTTTGTGGTTCAGCCTTTGTCCTGATGTCCTCCAGGTCTAATGGAAGGTCTTGAGTGTCTTGTTCAAGAAATTTGTCTTGTTGCTGAGGTGACACTTTCCTCTGGTCCTCCCTTTGACTCTTACTGTGGAGGATGAACCCCACTGTGTTCTTCTCGTGGATTCTGTCAGGTGCCAGAGACAGCTGTGAGCGCCTGGTTCTGATCTGGACCATCTCTCTTTGAGCACAACTGTGCGTCAGCCCTCTAGAACGTCGCAGATCCTCCTCACGTTCCTGAGCTAACCGGATCTCTCTTTCAATGGGGGTTTCATGGCGCACTGTGGGTTTGCTTGTCCAGTTGTCTTGCTGAGTGTTGCTAGACATGCCGTCATCACTGGGATAGCTGCTGGCCACCTCCACAAGAGGTTCTTCAAGGCCAAAGTCCAGATCATCAAACCCACCACTCGGTCTACTAAGACTCTCAAACACTGGTACGTTCCTCTCAGAACTTGTCTCATCTTCCTCTGCTGCTTTAATCAGAGTTGGATCATCACTCGTTTCTGTAGAACCAGAAATATTCAATTTTCTCGACACAAACACATCAGGAATCACGTCCAGTTGTCTTCTGGAGGACTTGACTGGGCTGAGGATTTCTTCCAGTTGCTCTTGTTCCATCTGCATAAATTTCTGTCTGGCAGTGCTGAAGTTGATCTGCTCCTTATCGATGGTTTCAGGATCTACAAGGTGAGGAGAGTTTGGTCCTAAACTGTCAGGATTGAAGCTCAAACTGAAACCTTCTATCAGTCTATCTGTAGCCAAGACTGGATCTGGAGTCTCCACTGGTTTTGGTGGTTCTATTTGGTTCTTCTTGGGAGCTTGGCTACGAATGATCTCCATGCGAAGGTGTTTCTCCTCTTCCTCATCCACTCTGATGCCATTATATGAATGCATCTTGTACTCCGAGTCTTCATTACTCACTGAAAACAGACTCTCTGGCTTCCTGCTGTTGTTGTAGGTCTGTAGTTTGAATTCCTTCTCCTCTTTCAGGATGGCCATTTGGGTCTGCCGCTGTGGTGACACCATCCAGGCTTGGTTCTGCTGGGCTTCAGGACTTTTGGCATCCTCCACAAATGAGTAGAAGCCACAGTGAGAGCCAGAGCTGCTGCTCGGGCTGCTGGGCTGCCACTCATCACTACTGGAGTTCCCATCATGTGACACAACGATCTGCCGGGCCTGGACCAGTTCGTTTAAGGACCCGTCACTCTGCTGCAAGACCAAAACTGAAGAGTCAGAATCCTGGTCGTCCAGGTCAGGGGTAGGACCAGCAATGGTGCGCAGGTCTGAAGGTTGCAGCAGTGGGGAATGAGGCTTCAGCACCCACTTCTTTGGAGTGCTGTTCATATCTGCAGGGGGCGCTGCTGAGCCAGCAGAGGGGGGGCAATCTGATGGAAGACGACGACGGACGGAGCTCCGAAAAATCTGCAGAGACAAAACAACCTGAGGACCACCAGATAAGACAAAACAACTCAGGGACAATCTGAAGACACAACACAATAAAACAATAACCACAGATACAAAGGGGTGCCATGGAAACATTCTGGCTTCATATGACCTGTAACGTGTGAAGGCAGGGAACTACCAGAACACATTACAAATAAACAACCTGAATTCTGCTAAACTTGAAGCGCCTTTGAATCAAACCTTTTGATAAATATAATGCAATACTGTAACGATAACACATATAAGGTACTGCAAAAAAATTAAAAAGTCCCCCTGCCAAGATGAGCAGTTGTTGAGATATACGGTCACTGAAAATACACACACAGTAACAGGAAGTGATGTCAAAGGGGAATTCCTGCATGTGAACAGAACATTGCTACAGTAGAGAATAATCTGAGATTTAGATTATTTTGAGTCCTGATCAGAGAGAGAGACATAGAGGGGTCAGAAGACAAAAGTTCATCAATCATCAGATGGTAGAGCAGTAGTTATGGGGGCCGCTCTTTAAATGTTTGAGCCCCTGGTGCAGCTGAAAGATCAACGTGGTGGTCAAGCAGATCTGGTCCCTCGGTTGTCGCCTAACTTCTAAACAAAATTATGCCGTTCTGTGACAGAAAATGGGTTTCTGTTACGTTTTTACCCGAAAATCATGTGTATTATTTAAATTTCTTCCATATTTATTTCCATAAGTTTTTAGTATTTTACATCACTTGATAATGTACCAGTAGCTGTTTTTGTTCTGTTTTTTAATATAATTTTCTTCCATTTATTTTTCAATTTATATACTTTCTTATGGTTGTCTACTGTTGTCATCACTCTTTGTTTAATCAGGTCTCTCTTGTAGATGAGCCCTCGAGGCTCAATGAGACTCACCTGCAGAAATAAAGTTGAAAGAATGAATGAATATTTTGCATTTGTAGGAAAAAACATCCTACAGGCACTTTAACGCAAAGCACCGTGGAACTGAAATCAGTGTAATTCCAACTCTAACTTTCTGTTCCATCATTTAATAATAATAAATTTTATTTAAAAAGCACCTTTAAGCACACTAAAAACCACGATACAGCAGAAAAAAGGGTAACAATAAGAGTTCAAAAATATCCAAGAAAAGCAGACGTTCAAACTGGAAGTACACCCGAGTACATTAAGGACAGGTTAATCTGAAGAGAAGGATGTTCAGACCAGCTCTGAACAGAGAGCGGGGATGTTTCGTAGGTCAGATGCTCCAGAGTCCAGGAGCAGACTGAAGCTGTTGAAGCCCTCCAGGACGAGGAGATGGATATATGTAGAAGGTCAGATAAAATAGGAGGGGCAAGATGTTGGACGGCTTTAAAGTGTGAAGAATAATTTTGAAGCAGACGCAGGATTTGATCTGGAGCCAGTGAAGCTGCTGCAGGATGAGAGCGATGTGATTATAGGAGGGGGTTAGGGTCACGACACAGGCAGCAGAGTTGTGAACCATCTTGAGCTTATGAAGGAGTTTATTGGGGACGCCAAAAAAAGAAAATTACAATAACCAATCCAGGGCGTCACAAGACTGGACAAGGATGGCAGTGGAACGAGAGGTGAGAGAAAGACGGAGACGATTGTTACGCAGGTGGAAATAAGCAGCCGGAGTGACATCACTGGTGTGGGATGTGAAGGACAGGAAGCTGTCGAGGAAGACCCCAAGCCTGACCTGAGGGGAGGGGAACGCAGTGAGCTGTTAAAGGGGAGGAGAAAACATTCAGATTTGGAAAGTAAGTGTGTTAAAGGGATGAGTTCTGTTTAATCACTGTGTGAGAAAATTGTTAGAAACCAGTGATTGAGCTCAGTGAGACAATCAGTGTGGCTGGAGGGTGGGAGAGCAGAAATCAGTCTGCTAGACAAGTACAGCTGGGTGTCATCTGCACAACACGTCTGTCTGAACAGGTCTCACTTGTAAATGAGTCTTCGAGGCTCAATATCTGTTTAAATAAAGGTTGAATGAATGAAAAATTTACAGACGATATGACTCAGATGAAAATGATATGTGATGAAGAGGAGGGGCCCAAGAACAGAAACTTGTGGCATACCAGTAGAGATGAGGGAAGACTGAAGCTGAATGAACCGAGCGCAGCCACAGAGACAAAACTTAATCCAGTCGAGGGGAGCACGAGGACTGCGGACGGAAGTGAGTCGGTTGAGGAGACAGATGTTGTCAAAGTCCACACTCGGGTCGAGGAGGACGACAAGGGACAGAAGACGTGAGTCAGCAGCGATGGGAAGATGATTTCTGATTTGTATGAGAGCAGACGGTGAAAACCCGACTGAGAGTCCGTTTGAGCTTTTGTTTGATAAATGAGAGTGAAGCTGACTGGAGAAAACTTTTTCAAGTATTTGGGAAATGAAGGGTAGAACATGATCTGAGGTCATGTGACCCAATCAATCTGTTATCAAACTGCAAGCCTGTAGATAAAAGCAGAGATGATCCTCCCATTGATGACCCCATTAAAACAAATCTGATCAAAGTTCCCTGATCATAAAAATGAAGCCTGCGAGCAGGTCAAAGGTTTGAATCCAACCCATAAAACACAAGAGTGGAAAAGCTGACAGGAAATGACCTCATTAAACTCTACTGAGGTGACAGGACCATTCAAAGACTCAGAGGACCACAGAGCACCTGAACGCATCCTGCAGCGAGACCAGAGAGCACCTGAACGCATCCTGCAGAGTGACCACAGAGCACCTGAACGCATCCTGCAGCGTGACCA